AATACAGAGAAAACTGTATCATACATATAATCAGAACACACATCGTGATCAAGCACTTGGTGACAGCGGGAAGAGTGAAGAAGAAAGATTCATGCATCACGGGAAGCCCTCAGCAGCCTAGACCTATTGTAGCATGACAAAGATGATGCTACAATAACCTGATGCGGCTCTAACTATAAGGTTTATCAAAAAGTAACGTTTTAAACTGGGATGTACACTCCATTTCCCCAGCAGTAGAAATCCAAGCACATTACCAGGAGAAAGCCTCTTTTTTCTAAAAAGAACATGGCAACGCAGCTTAAGTTTACAATGTTGTATCAGAACAAACCACAAGATTTCTGGTACAATTTCTTTTGGGCAGACAAGACCAAATGCTCAGCACCACATTTGATCATGATGATTGGACTTTTTTGGAGCCTTGCAGTCACTGAATTGACCATAAACTTCTCTGTATACAAAAGTATTCTAGAGTTAAATGTGAGGCCATCTGTCCGACAGCTAAAGCCTTGTTAAAATTATGTCATGCAACAGGACACTGTTGCATGCCAGCAAATCTAAAGCAGATTGGCTGAGAATTAAGAGACATGATGCAATGGCCCAGTCAAACCTCAACCCTTAACCCTTGAAATGTTGAGGTGGGACATTACGAGAGTTGTGCATAAAAGAATTCCTGTAAACCTAAAGGAACTGAAGCAACGCTGCAGAATGGACCAAAATCCTTCTGCAATGATTTGAGAGACTGATAAAGGTCACATCACTTCCCGTTATTGCTTCTAGAAGTGGTTCAACCCATATGGAAAAGATATATATAAATCTTATAAAGTTTGTATCTGTCTTGTGTAAAACTTGTATGAAAAGCATACAAGAGTGAAAACAGATATAAGATCCCTTGAAAAATTATATAATGAAACTTGTATGTTTTGTATACTTACTAAAACAATATATGAAAGAAATGAGAAAGTGGCCACTTTCATGAGTAAATCATGTAAGTTTTTACTATTTCTTTTCCATATGGGAAGCTACTAAATCACAAGGCATACTTAGTTTTTCCCAACTACATATTCTTACTTTCTTTTTTTTCACAACTTCCATAACAAAGTCTGTCTGTGTTATGAGGAATGCCGCCTGAGAAAAACGGCAGTTATTTTTCATAATGTAACATTACCATGAATAGCATCACAATTTAAACATTTGCATGACATTTTGAAAGCTTTGCTTCTGGTCTTGCTTTTTTTTTTTTTGCATTATTTGAGAACGTGTATGAGAGAGGACTAAAATTACAGTTCAGGCTAGTTAAGCAGAATATTATTTTAGTTTAGACCACTGTTGAAAAATTCCTGGCAAATGAACCCCACAAATGGTGAAGTAAAAACAAACAAACAAAAAAACCCAAAATGATGATGATCCTGGCCATGCTGTCAACCTGACCACTTAGGACTTGAACAAGATGGTTCTTCCAAGAAAACCAGTGCTCATTAAATGTGATGATCCTTGACATCACGACGGCTGAACCAGTTTGAAATAAAGGAATTTAAATTTAAAAAGGGAAATTCAAGCCAATTTTTGGCTTGAATTATAGCATTAGACAATTAATTATATGCAGTCAGTATTTTAATGATGTACCTGGACGAAGCATAACTAATTTTAACATGGTTTTTTTTCAGGCTGAAACTAATAAATAAATTACTTTCCTGATTAGATTTCTCCAAAATTATTTTATTGATTAACTGTCCAATTTGTTGAGATAATAAAAATACATGTTAAAATGCATAAATACTAATAGAAATGGTGCTTAAAATTCAGTTTCTCCCTGTTGCTCCAAACCTCAGCTGTAAACAGCCAATTAAAGTTTGGAGATTAGAACAATATGGTAGCAGTGCCTCTCTGTAATCACCACAGTGAGGTCTTCAACCTGTACACATTGATCCTCTATTGATCTGTGTATGAGAAACTCTGGTTCAACCCAGCCTTCCATCCTCACTCTCCACATTCACTCAATATTCTGACTGGAGGGCAGAAAATAAGTGGTCGAAATCTGTGCTACAAAGATAGAGACAGAGGGAGAGGAAGATGAGACAGCAGGAGGCAGGGCTTAACAGTCACAAGGAGCAATTACAGTAATTATGATAGAAATAAATAAATGAATAAATAAAAACTCTCAATTTATTATGCAGTATGTGTGTATGTGTGTCTTTGAGATTGTTGAAGGCCAGTCTTATATACTTCAATCATTTATGAAGACCCCCCCTTTAGACTCTTTATTCTCTCTGCTAGAATGACATGTCAAATATGCTTAGTTTGCCTTTGTATCGCCATTCTTGCTCCCCTTGTTGTGACAGAATAAGGCTACAAGGAAATGTTTCTCCTCCATCTTAGAACATCAAAAGGTCTTTGAATTGCTTCTGTCACCACAAAAGATGAATGTGGTGTTGTCGTGTTTGTCAGTAAAATGTAAAACCATGTGTCAATTCTGTCCGCCTAGGAGAGGCTTTGTAATAAAGCTGTTTACTCTTCCTCTTGAATAGCCCAATCAAAGTTTTATCAATGTGCCCGGTGGTGGTAAAAAGTACTCTGCGTCAGCAAAATGTTACAGAGCCTTACAACTTCTTTCCAAGTTTATGAGCAAAGCAGAGCATCTCCTTCGGCACAGCAATTTTTCAAATTTATTCAGACACTATTTCTTTTTTAAAAACCCGAATGTATGTTTCCTGTTGTGGAATCCTTAGGAAATCAATAACTTCAAATTTGAGTTTGCAGGGTGAATGTTTACCAACTGGCAGGCTGATTTGAGCCTGAAATATATGCTATATTTCATATGCAAGAAAGTGACGGGTTCTTATAATCGACGCATTGAAAAGTGTCGGTCGATTGAAGAATATGCAAGCTTTATAATTGAATCAGATGTGAGGAAAGAGGATTAAACAGAGTTCTGTAAGAGTTCACGCTGAGGATCATGGTATAATTTCATGTACGATTAAAGAAACAGGCTTATCTAGAATTTCAAGGCACAAATAGTGCGTGTGCTGTGTATCTATGTACTCAACATTTTTTGTGCAAATGACCTCTAAGGGAATCACAAAGGCCTAGAGACCAGTTCACGATCACCTAGCACCCTCTGGTCCCTATAGTTAAATATTCTCCTGACAATATAAAACACAGATGCAGCTTCCAGGTTGGAAAAACGAAGCCATCGCAGAAGTAGCTTCAACATGCACTGTAACTGAAAGTGACCAGATGGCAAGAGCTGTGGTTGCACAAAGGCTCCCAATCCTATAGAAGAAGACTTGAGCTCTGTAAACACTTTCCTGCTAAGTTTATGGGCTCGGTCATTCACTTTTGGTCATATATAAAAAAAATTAAGTCCATTTTGTAAATCTTTGTCATGCCATCTTCCAGAAACGAAGAATTATCTATATGACACCACATGCTCAACCACAAGCTTGTTAATCACAAGTTGTTAGTCAATGAGCATGCGGTTTAACGCTGTAGCAGTGCACATAAACTGAAGTAAAGCTGTAAAACCCATTTATGTTTGTGAAAAAGTCAGTGTCTTCCATGCATACCAATAGTGACTTTCAACCTGCTAGCAATCAAAGCAGTTTCAAGGTGCATCACTGTATAGTTCTTTATAACCAGTTTCACACTAATGATTGCCATCTATGAGCCTCTCACAGAATACATATTCTTCCTAGCGACTCATGACTACCTGGAGTCACTGACCAGTCTTTTGACCTGTGTGAAGGAGGCTTTAGCAATTGATTTCACAGCAAATATGAGCTACCTCCAGCAGCCACTCACAACTAGTTGGGGAATACACATTTTTTTCTCAATTCCGGTGGTTGCCAGATGGTTGCTGACAAGCCTTTAGGCTTCTCTGACTGAAGCCCTAAATATATAACGGAGTCTTCCATTGGTTTTGATTTCAAACTTAGATTCTGTCATGCTCTTGGAGTGCTGTAATAGAAGCACTCACATAGGGATATCTCATTGATTTGCTGCCACGGTGTCAACAACCTCCTTTCATCTTTAAGTGTGAAAAGTGTGCCGGCAGCTATTTTGCCTCATTAAGGCAAACTGTCACCCCAAATGCAAGCTAATTAAAGTGCCAAAGCTGACAGCATTGTTTCTTGTTGACATATGTGTATAAAAGAAGATAATATGAACTTGCAAACCTTAACAAACCCTACATATTATTGAAATAGTACCAGGCTGACGTGTCAAATGCTGAAAGTTAGATATATTTTTTAAAATGTTAGAAGTGCCAGTATCAGAATGGCACAATGACTACTTAGTTTGGGATGATTTAGATGGTTAATGATAACTGATTTTACCCATGATTGACTAATAGAGAGCTTGTTTTCATTTCGTGGTGTTTTTACTTTTTTTCTTTTTTATCCAAAAGCTAGACTACATCTTTTCAGTCTCACGCCAAGCTTTCATTGAATAGAGAGTGTAATTATGGAATCTGTTTTTGATACTACCTTATTAATTGTGTACATGGTCTTAAAAATACCCTAATATGTTAAGTACTAAAAGTTTTTTACATTAACATAGAAGATGGATACACTCCATGTGTTTAAATACTCCCTCTGTACAGTTATATGCACACTATATATTATATTTATGTTAACCTATTAGACTGACTTGCTAGTGAATAAATTTATAAAGGACTTTATTATGGTCATAGTTTCTCCAGCCTGACTGCACACAGACACACGCACACACACATATATACACACACATGCATAATGAACTGATTAAAAATAGCAAAACGCAAAAAAGAAAGTGTGGAAGAATTATACAAGAGGAGAGCCTTTCACCTCATTAGGCATAATTTTGCAAGATTATAGGCTGGCAGAGTTGATGATTCTATAATGAAACTGTCAAAAAGACATACTACTCTCGTATACTGCATGTTGCTTCTATAGATCACTGGACTGTAATATTTTGCTTAATATAACTATATTACTTTTTTTTTTCTTTTTTCTTTCAATTTTCAGTTGCAAAAGACAGTAACAGCATCGGTAAGAGGACACTGGACCTAGACAGGGACATCTTCACACACTCATCAACGCAGGACACAGAAAGTGAAGTCCATTCCATCACTACCGTCTCACCAATGAACATCCCCAACCACCAGCCAGTCTTCAAGGGCCTGCTGCTTCATGAGCATTTACTTACAAGGGACTTCCGGGGGGACCAGCATTTTTTTCGGAGGGATGGCTCTGTGGCTGCATATCCCACCATGCCAGGCTCTGTGTCTGCTCCAAATGCAGCAGACCTTGTCACTCAACTTGTGCCCCATGAGGATGCTCCGGCTTTTTCAGATGTTGCCTCTACTGCTACTGTGGCTGCCACATCACCGCTGACTACATTTTCCCCCACAACACCAGCACTGCCCGTGTCTATGCCTCAAAAGAAATCAAAGGAGAGGACCAGGGGGACAGACAAGGTCGATCCAACAACACACTCACTTACCACCCAGGTGACACCAAATAACAGAGGTTCAGGTGGTGAAAACAGCAGAGTACCTCCCTCATCTTCACTAGGAAGTCAGCCTCAGAGTTTGGGTGCTTTTCCGGAAGAGGCCACCTCGGGGAAGATGGAAAAGGGGGAAGCTAGTGAAACGGCACTAAAAAACAAAACCAGCCCTGGTCATCAGCTTCACAAGCTCACTCCGGCTTCTTCAGAGAAAGACACCACAACAATGTCCACGACTGTTACCACAACTACCACCATCACCACCATGCAAACATCAGGTAGGCAGAGTAATATTCTTTTTCTTTTTCTCTGACTTTCAAGGATGTACTGTACTGAGCTGGACATTTACCCTTAAATATAACACATGTATCCCAGAGGAAAAGAAAATTAAGCATCAGATCCTCAGCATTACTCCTGTTCATTTTGCATTCTGCACACAGCTATTCATCTTTCCGTCAGGGATAACGGAGTTGCTCATGTGTCAAAAACAATCTGATTTTTCCTGATGTGTCCTGCCCGCCCTTCCCACTGGCCACAGAGGGCTGAAGGCCCAGATGAGTAGTGTCAGAGAGGATCTCTGCAGAGATAGTTAGAGGGTTACAGGGCCAGGGAGACACAGGTGGGCTGTCAGAAAGATCAGTGATCCGGGAAAAAGGGAATCACTTGTCTTTTTACTTTCTTCCACAGAGCCGTGTAGTCTGAATTTCACTGACCCTGAGGGTAACATTGAAATCCTGCAGCAACTTGACTCGGGAGTGGAGTGTAACTACTTGATTACTGTCTACCTGGGATATGGCATCGAAGTTCAGGTCAGTGCTAAAAGCTCAAAAATAATTATAATGTTAGTAATTTGATGAACGTTTGATGAAGTGGCTGTTTGGTAAGTTTCAAAACTCCATTATGTAGCCACCTGAGAACAGGCTAAAACCAGCTCTAGCCAAAGCACTGCAAGAACTTTGGGATAAAATTTGAGGTCTGAAAAGGTGGAATATAATGATATTGTCAGGTTGTGTGGAGCGTAAAGGTTAGGGCCCAACTGCAGGAAGCTGAAGGTTGAAAAACCACAAAAGGTGATGGAAAAAAGACAAGACAAGACAGTGCGTGAGGAATAGACAAGGGTAAAATAACAAATGCTATGACAAATGCTAACTCTGCAGTCTGCTAAAGGGAAGACAGGACTATTTATAACCGAGGGCTGATTGGGGAATGACAGATAGGAGAGTGGTGAAGGCAATCAGGACAATCAGGGAGAGACAGATAGGAAGTAAAACTAAGAAAATAAACTTTCAAAGTAAAGGAGGAAATAGCCAAAGTAGACTAATATAATGAATGCTAACACTTAACAAGATGCCAACCTAAGAGAAAGATACTGAATGTGGACATAAGGAGACTCACACTACACACGAAGAAAGAGACAAAGGAAATAAAACTACAATGAATAATAATTCAATTTGATTTCAATTCTATTTGTACGCCAAATCACAACAACAGTCGCCTCAAAATGCTTTATATTGTAAGGTAGACCCTACAATAATGCATGCAGAGAAAAAACCAACAATCATATAACCCCCTATCAGCAAGTACTTTGGCGACAGTGAGAAGGAAAAACTGCCTTTCAACAGGAAGAAACCTCTGGCAGAATCAGGCTTAGGGAGGGATAAGAGAAGGAAGACAAAAAAAATGTAATAATAATTAAGATGTGAACCAAAACACTGGATTACCAAAGCTGAACTTCATTACAAGGTCAAAAATAAAGTAATATCAGGAACTGTAGACTGAAAATCACAAGAACCAAGGTTCAGAATGGGATACCAATAGAATCATGTAAAAAGGAAATCCCAGTTTTTAACATATACACACAAAGATCAAAATGTCATGAATCTTAAAAAAACAAAAAACAAAACCAAAACACACTAAACTTTTCTAAATACTGAAAACAGCTTTCAGTGTATGGAGACAGTGAACCAAAATACTAACTCTGCAGTCTGACAAAACAATTAGCCGAAAAAGGCTATAAAGCTCATGGGAGCTGGGAGGAAATGCATAATTGTTTGTGGGTTTGTCAGAGCGACCCAAAAAACATGTTCCATTGTTAATCTAAAAATACTGATTATAGCCATTTCAACCTGAACTGTGCTTTCTGATGCGTTATAAAATGCTTATTAAACCAGTAAAGAGCAGTGACATATTTTGGTTTAGTTTAAGCAGTAACAGTAATTTCTGGTCTTGTGTGGGTTGATAGAGATAGAAATGCAATGAATTACTGGGTTGAGTGGGTGGATGGGGACACAAGTGACGGGGTCTGTCTCAGGTTGAATGTTTGCCTGGTAAGTTTTTTCACAAAAGGTTATAAAAATTAACTGTCAGTGTATGCGCTCCCTGGCATTTGCAATTCTTCAAACGCCTCATTTACCATTGGAGACTTTATAAAATGTGTGAGCTTTGTCTTGCTGCCTCTGGGGGGCGAAGATAAGTCTTGACAGAGTATATGTTTGAGAGTGTGCCCTTTTTTTCTGAAAGCTTCCTCTGGGTAACTTAAGTAAATCTTGAAGCACTTATAAGCACATGCACACTCACCCGCACATGTGCATGCATACCCACATAGGCATTTGATGTATCAGCTTTTTGCTTTCATAGCTTCTCCAGTGCTTTTGGCAGAAGATTTCTTAAACTGAAAGGCTATAAAGCTAAAATATATAGACATTTTATATTCACACATCAGTTGGGCTTGATAAAGAAATAAGATGAAGCCATGCATTTCAAACCACCATGCAAGCAGACGGGGGCCACTTTTTTCCCTCCCTCCTGCAGACAAGCTGATAGTGATCTGATGGCAAACTTACAGACAATTGCTTGGCACGACTGAAGAGATTGAGGAAACAAGGCCCGTGTTCCTTGGGAATGCATGAAGTGACTGAAGGTGGAGAGATAGAGATTGAAATCAAGCATGTGTCATGCCATGCCTTTTCATCAGCACTGTGTGAAGCTCTTCTTCAGGGAGCCTATCCAAGATTTGGAAGGTTTTAAAAGAAAAGAAAGATTATCACAGAGTAGCAATGTGGCGTAGCATTGTCCTCATACAACCATGTGCAAGGAGAACAACCTTTTTCTTTTTAAACCATAAAATATAACCTTAAATTGGAACTATTTTGTTTTTTCACTTGTGAGTAATTTGTGCAAGCAAGGAGAAAAACTTGAATGTAATTATTCCTACTTAATAGTCATTTAAAATTAAATATGAATAATTAACATTAATATTAATTTGTTACATTCGCACATGTGACCAGATTACATTTTTCACTATTAAATTCAGCTAATAAATTACACAAAGGTTCTTCAATTATCTGCATGTTGGAAGGATAGAGGAGAAAAACATCAAACAAACATGCTTTTTTTCTACCTATGCTCTTACACTACAGTCATCTGATTTCAGCTCATCTGTGGAAGAGGAAAATAGTGGCGTGGTCATTACATTTATCTTTATTAACCAAAAAGACAAGAGACAAGTGTATTATGCTAACTAACTAAATAACTGCTAAATAGCATGCTAACACAAAGCTAGCCTAGAACAGCGGTCCCCAACCCCCGGGCCTCGGACCGGTACCGGTCCGTGAGTCGTTTGGTACTGGGCCGCGAGAGTAGAGGCTCAGGTGTGAAATGTATGGTTTTCAGGGTTTTTTGTTATCGTTTTTATCGTTAACTCGGTTTTCCTGGGTCTTTTCACGTGTGTTATGAATAAATCTTCTTTTTTTCAGTACCGGTACTAGTTTTATTTTGTTGTATCTATCCGCGACACCTTAAAGGCCGGTCCGTGAAAATTTTGTTGGGCATAAACCGGTGGTGGCGCAAAAAAGGTTGGGGACCGCTGGCCTAGAAGTCAGAGCGGCACTAAAGCTCAGCGCATCCCAAACCCAGTCTAACAGCCTGACACTGAACTTAATCAGGTAACAAAGGCAGTGATGAACACAGTAGTGTTCCTCAATGTTTGGTCTCCTTTGCTTCTGTCCCAACTTTTGAGAGGGGAGAATTCACTCTTGTTGTTTCTTTTTTAAATCTGTGGGTAAATGGATGGTAAATACCTTTTCCCCCTCTTTTTTTCTCTCTTTTTTCTCTTTTCCACATGTATAATTGTAAATGTATGTAATGACTTTAAATGTATGTGATTCCCTTTGTTTGTTTTTTTGGTTTGTTCTGTTTTGTTTTTGTGTTTGTGCTGATAATGAATAAAAACTGTTGAATTATGTGGAAAAAAAAGGCAGTGATGAGCAATCAAGTTACAGCCTCCCTTTCTACCTGTTCATGTTTCTAAAATAGGATCATCATGATGATATTTTAAAGTCTCTTTGAGCTTTGCTTTATGGTGTCAGCTTTGTGTTCGCGTACAACTACTAAAAGAAAGATCCACATTAGGATAGTGATTTGTGTTGGTGTGTGGAACTGTACTGTAAGGTTTGTATTGTTAACTGGTAATTGTGAGACATTGCATTTCAGGTCATTTTACAGAGTAACAAGAAAGTAATGTAACAAGTAAGTCACAAATTACTTTTCTCTGGTGAGTATTAAACCTGCTGACAATATAAGTAACACGTTACAGTCCGGCTTCCCAAAACAGTTCCCAATCCTAGTTGAAACACAAATAAAGCCTTTCTTTAAGTGTTTAAGCCAAAGCTGAAGTGCTGAACCCTAAGCTGAATGCAAAGCAGAGTTGAAGCCCAAAAAGTACTGGTAGAAATGGAGGCTAAAATGGTACAAGCCTGACTTGAAGATCAGGCTCTGGCTACTGGGCTGGTATCAGTATACACTGAGCTTTAACATCACTCTGGCTGCTTTGCTAGCTTTGTGTTAGCATTCTGTTTGTGGAGATACAAAAAGCTGATGTTGTGTTGGCAGTATACTTCAGTTTTTTTCTTTCCTGAATGCAGTTTGCACTTTAGCACTCAGCTCTCGTCCTTTTGTGCAATAAAGGTAAAAGATCTAAAATTCCTCAGAAATCTTTTGTGGACCACTAGACCATTTCCCACCTCACTTATTATTGTACGATATTTACGTTACAATATAAAATGCATTGAGATGACTGTTGTTGTGATTTGGGGTTATATAAATAAAACTGAAGTGAAACTGCTTAAGATAAAGTTACTTCATCTAATCACTCTCCTCTTCAAATCCTACATTCTTATTTTTGACACAAGATTAACAATTTATAATAATAAACTGGAAAAACACTTGGAAATCAAAGGGTTTCACAAAAGCCACCATTTGGCCCAACATTAAAAACAGGAGTATAATCAAATTAAATGCTTATTAAGATTTTCAAGCACTTTCACATTCTGTAACAGCATGTGTCTTCTTTGTACGCAGCCCTTTGTGTGGAGGTTTTTGGGAGATTTTTCACTAAGATATCATTGTAAATCAACAGTTGGTTGTTTAAGTGGAAAGGTATAAAGTTGGTCTCTACTAAAGTTTGAAATCCTTCCTTTTTTTTTTTTTTTTAGTAATTTTGATAACAGATAAACAGACAAAAACATACCCATGTTGGCAGGGATGAAATAGATGAAATTACCAGTTGTTGTAAAAAAACAATTGATTGCTTTCACTTGTCTGATGAGCCTATTTGCAATAATTACATATTGATCTGTGAAGGGATCACATCTTCCCTTCAATTTCTCCAGTTAGGTTATGGATTTGTTGGTTTGCTAGAAACATACAAAATAACTCCAACCTGGGTTAAAAGCTCTTAGTGCCCGCTTTTCAAGCTGTGTACTGATACAATTTACATTACCAACCATTAACACAGATTGAATGCACCGCA